GCCAGTGTGCCCAGCAGGCCCCAAAGGCTCCCTGCGTTGTGTTGGGACTTGGAACGTGTCCGGGAGCCCGCGGCGCTGTGCGCGCTGGTGAGTTTGCCGGCGGGGTGGGGTGTCTGAGGGTGGCAGAGGCGGAGAGGACATTGCGCTCAGTCCCTGCGCCCGTCCCCTAGTGCTGCCCCCACTTTGAGAGTAATTGAGACTTAAGCGTGACTAAGGAGCGGCGAGGATGCGAGCGCCGGACTCGGGCTCTCTCTCTGCCGGGTGTGATGGAGCGGGTCGGTGAGTCGAACAAAGGCGCCCGCCCAGAGGAGTGGGTCCTCGGCTGAAGAGCGCGGGCCGCGAGCCGCGACGGCCGCCTGCGGGCTAAGGTGTTGGCTGTGCCGCTAGAAGAGCAGCGCGCCCCGCCTCCAGCCGGCGGCGAGCCCTGAGCTGGGCACCTGTGCGCCACTCCGGCTGAGGCTTCCACACAGCCCCGCCTGCCGACCCGCTGGCCCCGGGGCCCGTGGCACCCGCTGCGCAAGGTCCAGAGACCAACCCCTTGCTGGTGCAGAGGAGACCCAGGTCTCTCGGTCTTTCGCCGAGACGCCTGGAACCGGCCGTGCGCAGTGGACTGAGCTGGCGTGTCAGGAAGCACTTCTGCAGACTGGGGACTTCCATGTGAGTGATTTCGTTTTTTCCAACCGCCCCGTCCTTCAGCAGTGTTGGCTGCCGGAGCATCCGAGCTGTGCGGCCGGCAGCCGCTGGGATCCTCGCCGGACGTCGGGTGTGTGAAGCTCGCACAGTTCCCGGTTGTCCCGCGCCCGCGCCCAGACAGAGCCCGAGAGTGTGCGGGTCCGGGGCAAGGGCCGGCTGGGCTGTTTGATGGCTTCACTGAGAAGAGTTAAAGTGCTGCTGGTGTTGAACTTGATCGCAGTGGCGGGCTTCGTGCTCTTCCTGGCCAAGTGCCGGCCCATCGCAGTGCGCAGCGGAGAAGCCTTCCACGAGATCCGGCCGCGCGCGGAGGCGGTCAACCTCAGCGCGCACAGCGCCAGCCCCATCCAGGATGCGGTCCTGAAGCGCCTCTCTCTGCTAGAGGACATCGTCTACCGGCAGCTCAATGGTAAGGACACATCCCAGCGCCCGTGGGGCTGGGCTCTGTAGGGCGGTCCATAGGGTGAGCTCAGGGCCCTGCGCTATGCGCCCGGGCACTGGCACCTCCTGGCTCCCACGGCCGCCTCTCCCTTACTCTCCCTCCCTTATCTCCTGCAAGAGACCAGGGCCGCTGGTAAGAACAGTCTACCTGCTTCCTCTCTGTGCCCCAGCCGTAAATTTGGTTTTATCCTGGACTCAATATAGTCGTCTCCTGGTCTTGAGCGCCTGGCAGGAAATCATTCCCTGGAGACTCTAGCCGGATCGCAGAAACTAGTGGAGCGGCTGAATGGGACTGGAGGCATGGGCTGATGTCTAGGCAGGAAGATAGCTCAGAGAGCTCAGCGTTTTTTGGGAACGCATGGGGAGGAGGGAGATGGGCGGTGCGTACTGCCAAAAGTCAAGGCCCCAGGTCCTGGAGCTAATGCGCTTGGGTGGTAAGTAGGACGAATATGCCATCTCTGTGGGAGGGCTACACAGCTAATAGAGGACTGCTCCCTTTGAGCCACTGTGGTGGAGCCTGCTATCTAGAACACACCCAGTTTCTTCTGGTCTGGAGCTGCGGAGGGGCAATTGTTGAAAGTCCGAGGTGCGCCTGGGACACAGGCACCTACAGAGTGTAGCAAAGCTGAGACGTGCATCCAATTAGTGGCAGCAAACATAATCTGTTCCAGGTAGAACGTTCTTCTACTTCAGGCAAAGAGGGAGACTTTTAGTGTGCTCTGGTCATACTTGGTTCAGGGACTGTTGTTGGTCACAGGATGCTGGCAGTCTACAAGTTTAGAGTGAGTGTTACCTACGTGTACAGGCAGCTCTCCAGGGACAACATCCAAGGCAGATAGCGTGCTTAGGCACAGGCTGCCTCCTCCCTTCCTGACAGCACACCCATGTTCTCACACAGCAGTTCCAGAACTGCAGAAGATCATAAAAATAATGATAATAACAGCTGATGGGATTATTGCTGTGTGCCAGACACATGCAAAGACAGGACATTGAACATTCATGTCAGTCCCGGAGGTTCCACCCATCCCCAAATGGGACATGAGGAAATAAGGCAAGGAGCGGTGAGCTAAGTTGCCTGGAGTCCTGAGTTTGGAGTGAGATCCCCATGTCTGGCTGACCACAGAGTCTGTTTTCTTGGACACTAGGCACCAACTTCCAACCATGGTCCTAATTATAAGGAGTATTAGGTTTGTTGAACAAAGAAATATATGAAGCTGCAAATTCCATCATATATCTGTGTATAGTTGAGAGCCAGGCTCAGCTGTCTTCACTGCAGTGAGAGAGACCAGTGGGTGACAGGTGGCTGGGAGAGGGAAGATGCCGGATTATTCTCCCTCTGCTCTCTGATGGTCCCCTCTGAGTAATTCCTGGGGTTGATATGGTCAGATCCCCAAGCACATGAAAGGACAGTGTGGTCTTATCTATGTCACTGGTAAGTATCCAGGGGATACCTTGAACTTGCTTCTGCAGTAGGAAGCTGCAATTCTCCACGCCCCTCACAAGGGGTGTGGCCTGGCTGTCAAAGTAGTCCAGTGAAATCATGTAGAAGCTCTTTTCCTAAGTCCGCAAAATCTAAGGCATGGATCAAACAAAGCGGCTGTTCATTTCCCGAGGAGTTAGAAGCTTATGGCGGTAGGCTTTATTCTGCACAGATTCCTGCCATGACAGACTTATGGGACCCGAAAGGATACCTTGGGTCCCTCACTCTCAGACCACAATCAGGGACATGGGTCCTTTTAGTATTCGTTTCAATTAGGAACATAAACTAGGATATAGCCACATCCCCGCTTCCCCATGTTCAATGTGCACAAACCCATTTATCTTTACAATGACTGACCCTATGAGATAGCTACTCTCATGTCCCCTCTCACATCCCCTGAGTAACTTGCTCACAGTCACCTGGCTAGTGAGCCTTAGAGCTGGAATTGAATCTGGTTCCTCTGACTCTGGAATGGAGATTCTTAGCTGCTTGCACTAGCATGTCTTGATCTCTAGCATGCATCCAAATTCCCTGGGGGGCTTGTTAGCATGCAGATGGCTGGGCCCCACTCCCAGAGTGTCTGATTCAGTAGGTTAGAGTGGGGCCAGAGAATTTGTCCCTCTAACAAACTTATGCTTGGTACCATGACCCAGCATCCTACACTCTACTGCCTACATCAAGAAGAGCAAAGGCAGAAGACTCCTTAGACTTCCAAAGCCACTTCCTAGGGAACTTCTGAAGAGCTAATTGCTGGCTTTAGATGGGCTGCTGGTGGTAGTGGTGGTGGTAGGGGTTCTGGCATTTCCCCATCTTCCCTTCTGCTATGTAAGCAATCTCTGGACTGTTTGGATCCCGTACTGTGGATTGGGAAGTCCTAGTTTCCTTGACTTGCATCCTCTGAGGAGTTGCTGGCAGGAAGGCCCAGTTGACAGCTTTTCCTGGGCAAGGTAGAAATTCAAGCTGCGACTAGGCAGATGTCATCTTCCTGCTGCCGTGTGTAGTTTGTAGTGACATGAAGCCTAAAGGTAAAGAACAAGGAGAACTTGTCAAATGGAGGACCCTCCCTCTCACTCCCACTCCCACGTGCTCCATCCTTGGCCTGGGCTTGTTTCAGGTAATGCCTGTCCCATCTATTGATGTTCTAGGCCTGCAGGGGCCGCCTGCTGCAGTGGGAGCCTGGGGGAGAGGGGAAGGGCTCTCAGTGCCTGGGGAGGTGGGACCTGAACCTCATGTGTGCTTTTGCTCTGCAGCCTGTCTTCATCCATTGTTACCAAGGGAAGAGAAGGAAACCTTGTCCTTAATGTCTTTATTTCTTAGGAGTTAATGGAGAGCCTACTGGAGCTGGCACGGGGAAGACAGTAGGAACAAGGCCACTTGGACCCAGATCTCTGGTCCATGGTGGGAGCTGCCATTTAGATTGTTCTGGTTTCTTAAACCTTTCCTGTGGACTCCTCTGAAGTTCAAGCAGGAGGGATTTGCAGAGAGCTTCACCTGGTCCTGGCTGTTGATCACGCTCATCCACAGTGTTCTCTTGCTGTTAAGATAGGTTTTGTTGGGGTTCTGCAAGTGGACAGCAAGAGTTGACCCAGACTTCCTCAGCACTGACCTCTCTGCTAAGACTGGTTGCCAAAGTGCTTGACTCTTGCCTTTTGAAAACAGTTATAGGTTATTGTTATTGTTGTTTCGTTTTCCTCAATACAGGCTGACAAGGACACTTTAAAGAGAAAGTGAAGATGTGGGTATAGAGGAGAAAGCACACAGTGATAAATTAGTTTTTCCTCCTTCAGAATCTCTTGCAGTAAACTGCTCTTCCATTCTTTCCATCAGCTCCCTGCTTCCTCCATGGCTGAGCCCTGCCTCTAACATTTTTCCCCACCCCTAGACTGTTGGGTACTCTCCTTTGACGGAGTGCCCTGACTGACCTCCTCTACTGGGCTCACAGTGGCTCCAGCTATCTGAGTAGAAAGCACCAAAATCTTTCAAAGGGCCCCACATCTCCTAGTGGCATCCTGTTTCTGGAGGAATCATGATCCTGTTTGAAGGCCAGCAGTCAGGGCCTGTCAGAACCAGCTCTGATGCACATCTCCTCTGTTCTCTTGCCCAGTGCCTCTGGCTTCTCCATTATGAACCCATTAATCTTTATAATTTTGGCAAGTAGACTCCTACTTGTTGAAATATCCTGCATTCGCCTTGGGATGTCTAGCCTCCTTATTTCAGCCTATCTTTGAGAAGTGCTAGTTGTCCTGGTTTGCCTCTCTCCCATCCACTTCCTGCATACTGCCTGTCCTTTAAGTCTTGGCTCAAGTCACTTCCTGGAGATGGGGGTTTGTGGCACACCACATGAGGTCTGAATTCTTTTGGTTTTGAGTTGCTTGAGGCTTTGTTGTCAATGACCCTTTGTACCCCTGGCCTGAAATCTTGCGCCTCCATGGTTTATTCTTTGGGTACAGAACTGGACTATAGGCTTTTTAAGGTCCAGAATTATATTTTAGACTTTTCAATACTACCTCTATCCCTCAGCATCTGCCACACACCTTGCACATAATGTGGATAACTCAGGTTTATTGAGTTGACTAATTGGATGAGAGCTGGTTTTAGGAGATAAAGGACAGTCATGGAGGAAATAAGTGCAAGACTATAGAGGCTGAGTTTGTTGGATGGGTTTGGTGGAAGGATTTAGATGGGGAGGCTGAGTGTGAGGACACTGTCTTGCCTCCACCATCTTGCCTCCACCATCTTGAAGCAGCTCTAGTCTTCATCCTTCTGAGTTAAGGGAACTAGATCCTTCCAGGAACTTGGAAGTCACACAGTTGTCCAGATTAGGAACAAGGTAATTTCAGTATGTTTCCTTTGTATGTGTAATTTCGTAGCATGACTATGGTTGTATAGTCTTTTTGTAGCATACAATTAATTCATATTGTACAGCATTTGGCAAATCTAATAAAAGCAGAAGAACATAAAACTTTGTTAAAATATATTTTTAAATGGTGGCATGGCAGTTTTGAATCAGCGACTAGGACGGTGGACTGAGGACAGACACATTTCTTGTTAGAATTCCTTATAACTCTGTACATGACTTTTGGCTTTCTGTCATCTCTTTGTCATCTTCTGGGGAAATGATTTAGTTCTCATTTTAGAGAAGAGAAAGGTGAGAAACAGAGATATTGTGTGATCTAACCAGGGTGACACAGCTAAGTGAATGGCAGAACCCAAGTTCCTAAGCCCCATGGTACTTTCCTCTCAGTGCAGCACCCTTGATGAGTAAGGGACATAAAGTAGAGGAGTGGGTGCTTCACTTGCCACATGTGAGCTCTAAGCCCTGGCTGCTGGCCTTGCCCCTCCTCAGAGCCTCTGTATAATGAATCTGAAGGACACATGTCAGAGTTTCTACTTCTGTGAGCCCAGGGCAGCTCTGTCGTAAGAGGAAATGCAATCGATTTAAGTTAGGTTCCAAATTTAGATTTTAGGAGGATATTGAACAGAAGCAG